AAGGACTTCAAATAGATAGATATATAGATAGATATATAGATATATATATCTTCCAGTGTGAGCTGCTGTTGCATGCAAAGCCCATCCTTTGCCAGACTGAAATGGCGATATTTTACAATTGGAGATTCTTTCAAGCACATACCTAGTGCATCTGTTCCAGTGTATTGCACAATGTGTATTATAGGCACTTTTTGGACTATACCTGTGACATCAGTGTGAGAAGATTGTGAAGCAAATTGTGTTACTTTGTGTAAATGACAAGCACCTTTTGGTGGAATGTGATAAGTCTCGCCGCACCTTACTACTATTTAGTAAATAATTTGAATTGACATTCTTTTAGATAAAAAAATAGCTTTAAAATTGGAGAATGGTGACTTTACAAATAATGTTACATTATACAGGGTGGTACAGTTTCAGCCACGACAGCTGTGTGTCTCCTGCAATACAGTCTTAATTCTGCGTGTAAGTGTCTGGATGTGAAACACTCCTTCTCCCAAGACTGTGAAATTTGCCATAATGTTCCCGAATAGCTTGAGTGTGAACTTTTGTGGATTCTACTCTTCTTGCTGAGACACAGCTATTGTGAGCAGGTGTGAACACAATTGAAGAGGGACAGAGACACAGAAAATGAACTTCCAAGTGACAATGATGACTAATGAATTCTTACATAATCAACACTCTCGATTACTTAATTTAACAATGCTCTTGTCACACTGAAAGCTCATTTTCTATGCCTATGTTCCTCTTTTTGGAATAACCTGATCCAGAAAACCCAAATGAAGGAGAATTCTTGATCTTGGTGTGGGGAAAACTCACATTCCCTGTGCTTATCTTGCTCTGCTTTTCCATGCCAGAATTTGAGCTTTGAGACATCAATCCCGAAGTAGTACAAGGAGGAAGACTCTGCATGTGAAATTCTTGCTAACAACGCTTCAGGTCTGCTTTTCGGGCAAGAGGTCCCACATGTTAGATCCTTTTCACCTCTTCTCAGTTCTTCCCCTTGCCTTTTCCTAGACTTCCTCTGGCAGGAATAATCGTTTGACACTCAAGAGCCATGCATGTAAATACTTTCAACTTCATCAGCTTGTTCGTTGTTGTTTTTTTGCAGCTCCCTGTTCGTGCATGTGGGTTAACCCAGAAACGAGAAGGCTGTCCATTGGTCAAGACAATGGTACCATCTCAGTAAGTACTTGGGACTAAAATTGCTAGTGAAGATGTGTTCTCTTTGTTTGCAACGAAACATCTGGGTTTTGAGGACATTTCACTGGATACTGACAGATAAATGGAACTGAAAGCTGAAGGGCAGAAAGGGGGAAGTCATAAGCATACTTTACTTCAGCTTTCAACAGCTTTTACCTAATTAAGGGATCCTAATTCTAATTACTGATCAAGGGTCCGGGAATGCATTCATTGGGTAGAATCCCATTTCGTCTTTGCAGAAGCATCAAATCCATGGGTTTGAGTCCACTGATGTAAACCACTGCACAACTATATTCAGAATCCCTTTAGGGGACTGGGAACATGTAAGGGGGGGCGGGGTTGGACTGCACCTCCTATTGTGGAGCCCACATCATCACATACAAGTAGGAAATAACTCATAAAAGCATATGCTAGATAAAACATGTTGATCTTTTAAATTTAAGGTACCACAAGATTCTTTGTGGGGTTTTTTTGCTGCAGCAGATATCTTCAACATCCCCATGGAAATAGGCACTCAGCCTGTCCTATGAACTGTACCACTGCTTGTTAGTCTTGTGTATTTTTTTTGTCAGTGCTGCCAGTCACCAGAGGAGATCCAAACACCTTGATGTGGGTTCTTCTCGGGCTCATCGATTGTGAACTGTGTGCCTCATACTGCGATACAACGGAGAACTCATTGATTCACTGTGATTTCCCCCATTCACAGATATCTGATGCTGTGGCTTCTTCCTGTGTCTCCTCCCATTTTGCAGATGCCAACGTTTGAGCATCCCATGGTTTCTGGACTGTGCATCCATTGGATGCTTTCCTTGTAAAAGTTAAAGTAGAGCCAGGAATGCTGTGGCGCCCCCATGTGCCCATGCCTGGGACAAAAGGCAGCGCTACCAGCCGAGCTGTATATCCTTAGAGCTTCAGTTCAACTGCCCTCCTAGCCGCCTAGAGTGGTCCTGAGGGACTAGATAGGCAGGATAATTAATTAATTAATTAATTAATTAATGAGGCTCCTTACAATAAGAATCTCTGCACTGCAGGCTTTAACCCAGCCTATATGCATGTTTTTGAGGGGGAAAATTTGCTGCATCATTAACTAGTATTTAAGCATACTCCACAAAGGAAGAGAATAATAATACTGTCCATAACTCAGAACTTCAGTTTTCCAAAACGGAGAAGAGGCCTTTAAGCCTTCATGTAGAAACTTTCACATCTCCCTTCAGTGGGATATTTAATGAATAGGCTATAAAATGACTGTTGTATTTAACGTATAAAGGGACCAGAAATCAGGACTGGGTAGTAGGACAATGGAATTCATGTGCTGGAGATCTAAAGCTGTTGCATGTGATGGTTTGCTTTATTCTTCATAGTTAGGGAAAACGTTGCTCCATTTATAATCTCTTTATTCTCATCTATTGTTGAGGCAATAGCCAAAGTTGTAAAATGAACCTTTTGAAGTAGGATTGTAGCTCAGTTGGGGGGCACATGCTTTGCCTGCAGAAGCTCCTGGATTCAAACTCTGGCCAGCCCAACAAAGACTGGGGGAGAGCCCTTCTAAAATCCAGAGAGTCAGTGTTGATGAATGGGCAACAGATGTTGTTTGACTACAACTTCCAGAAGTCCTGACCATTGGTCCTGGTGCCTGGGGCTTTTAGAATTGGAAGTCCAGCAACTTCTGGTGCCCATCCATCAGGCTTGGAAATCATAGGTGTAGGTCACACTGAAATAAATGGGCTAATAATCTGGCAATTAAGGGCAGAGTCCCTAAATTGGTTAGAATGAGGAGGAAGCCAAAAAGGATGTTTTAGTTTGGCCCTTGCATTCTATGTCTTTGGCAGCTATTATAGTCTTACTCCCAAACTTACCTCTACAAAACACCTTCCTGGAATTCCATTAATTGAGCTGAAATCGTTCATCAAAATGTGACTGCTCACAAAGACCTTATTCTTTTTACTGAATACAACCAAGGGAGTGCCTCTCGCTTCAGTAAACAGCCTCCGAAGCAGCAGCCTTCCCCAGCCTGGGTCCTCCAGATGTGTCTGAACCCAACTCTCGTCATCCTCAGCCAGGAAGGGGTAGCACAAAGGCCGTCCCAGTGAATCTGGGAGATGATGTAAAATGGAGAGGGACAGCAAGCCCTGAAGCATTGTTTGGAAAGGGTAGTGTGCCGACACTTGGCAGATATTTTTACCTCTTTATGACAATGGTTCACTTGTTCCAGAGAGAAGACAAAATGATGGGGTTTTAATAGATAGCAGGGAAATACAGTGTTGTATTTCTGAACTGAGATTCAGAACATTGCACGGTTCCATTCTGAGTTACTTATTCTGTTCCTATAGGCTAAAGAGCCATTGGCTTTTCCCTTTCTTGGCAGTTACATGCTGTCGACTTGTAAATGTCCTGCCCAGGTGTCTCTTTTTCAAGTCAGAACATGTTAGTATTCTTTCATTAAAATGCTTTAGCATTGTACAGGCCAACATTAGTCCTTTAAAAGCTGTGAGGGGAAAGAACAGTAGCCACTAAAAGGCTTTTGTGTTCTTTTTTTGCCTCTTCCTGCTCCACCCCAGATCCTGAAGAGTCCAACATTTTGCTGCCTTGAGCACACTGGAGGAAAGAAAAGGGTAGAAACAGGACTTGTAATGATAACAGTAATACATGTTACCTTTTCCAAAGTTCAGTGTGCTGTGCACTGAAGAAGGGGGAGCCTAGAAACAAAAGAAAGTGACATCTGCATCTCCCAGGCTGTAGGGGCGGGGGGAAGCTGGAAAATTAGCAAATGAGGCAGTGTGATTATAGGGCTGACAAGGAGGAAGCGTTTGCAACCATTGATCTAGGATCCAAGGTGATATTGATCAGTATTGGTCATTGTGGGACTGCTGAAGTCTTTATTCTGTTAGCAAGATGGTAGGGATTGCTAAGGCTACAAATATCTTTGTTATGCAGTGGTTCAATAGATGCCTGAGCCTACTCAGGACTGTTACTGCAATTTTAGAAAGTCTTTCAAAGGGTATACAGATTGCCAGGGCCAATCCTGGCATGAGCTTTAATGGGGGCACCACCACCTGAGCGGGCTGGAGTTGGCGAGCCTTTGCTTCATAACCTTATTTTCCCAGCATAGCCTCGGTTAACTATTTTCAGATGACCTTGGAGCCAAGATGTCTTGTCTTTTGGCCACCTGTCCCCCAAGGCTTTGGGCCCACAAGATTATCTTGAAAGCATGTGTTATTCAAGCCGTAAGCCAAGAGGTGGCCCTTTTGTGGCCGTGAGGTGATGAGGGCTCTTGCAGTAACAGCCTTCTCCTCATCCAGCTAACACAGCTGGTGCCATGTGAAGGAGGCATTAGGCGTTGTCAGTATCCATAGGCAGATGGGTTCCTTTTCCTGTTTTGGGCAGGAAGAAAGCTCGTGCCCCTCCTGCCATCTGAACCCAAAGTACCAGATGGGTCTTCTAAGCTGGTCCCTTTTGTTCCATTCCCTTCTCCAGTTTTTCAGACGCGGAGAATGGAAATGCTTATGACGTTGCCCAGTAATGTAGTTGTGCCAAATGGCAGCAATAATAATGGACTGGGTTGCAAAGGGAAACAGCGGAGCAAGGAAAAGGATTGCGTAGGGCAGCTCAACATGGCCCATGATCTCTACCGCAGCAGAAAACAAATCCAGCAAAAGCTGTGACAGGATTTGAAGTTCTCTGTTGTGCAGTTTCTTCAATTTCCATCAGTAACCCTGCCTCTTCCTCCTCGTGTGCCAGCCAGGCACCCTTGTTAAACTGCCAATTTATCTTTCTATAAAATCAGGGATTTTACAGTTCTCATGACCCATAACCTTCAGTTCCTTATGACTGTTCTCTGCTAGCTTCCTGTGTGTTTTTCTTCCTTTTGATCTCTGTGTAAAGCAAGACCACTCTCTTTTTTTTGCCCCTTTCTTTAATGTCCTTACAGAAAGGCAGAATGAAGTTTTAGTGCTGGTGTTACTAATCACCTTGTTATTTGCTGTCCCTCATTTTTGTCTTCTCTGTCAAATTCTTCCATTATTTTTGTTTGATCTCTTATGTGTTTACCAAAAGAGCCCTTGCACAACTTTTCCCTCCACTTCTTTACCTAAAACACAGGTCTACTTAAATGTTAGCCTGAAAGAACAACACCCACCAGGCATGGGTGAAATGGCAGTCTTTCTGGCATGGCACTGGCCTCGCGCTTCTGGAGACTCCAGGGATCCCACCACACCTCCAGCTTTGATATATTTCTTTTCTAGAATGAACTTTCAGTATTGGACGTTATAATCAGGGACATTCAGGGCTTGATTTTCCAAGATCCGTTTTTGTTCTCTCATTGGTGGGTTCTGTATGGGGTAGGGCTTAGAGTGCTGAACTCAGACTGGGTAGATCTGAGCTTGTCACTCTCTTTCTCAGGCTGACCTACCTCACTGGGTTCTTAGGAGGATAAAACAGGAGGGGGGAAAAGGCAAGCCATGTACATCACCATGAGCCGCTCACAGAGATATAAAGGAAAAGAATAGATAAAAATAAAATAAATTAGAATTGCATTTGGGGAGGAGGGGCAGGAGTCAAAATATCTGAGTAAATTGCTGTCCATGAAAGAAAAGCAAGAGTCCAAAACGTGCTGGTTCGAGAGGTGGGAGAAGAGAAGATGAAACTGAGTGCAGATATTTGAGAGCATTCCAAGGAGATGCGCTTTTTCCTGTCGACAGCCATCACGACGAGCCAACATGGCTTAACAGCCTGCTGTGACATTCCTTTGCTATTTCAGGGAGAAAAGGCTCCAGTGCAAAGGTTATTTAGAATAGCAAGGATTTCCAGGCCTATGTTCTGGATTTTTCTTAGGTATCCAAAGGTAAGGAGAGGTGTCATCCAAACAGACAGGTTCCTCCCCTCCCCTAATTTAGGCAGACAGAGCCACAGTTTTGCTTCTCAGGCAGCTGGAGGCAATAGCCCATCATGCCTCTGTTTCTGGATCTCGCAGGGAAGAGATTGACATGCAGGGCAATTGACCAAGTAATAAATTCTTGGATTTTAACAAGAAATGTTACAGTGCAAACTCATTTTTAGATATTTCACACATTCTAAAGTGGCTACTTTGTTATTTTCCAGGAATTTATTTTATCAGAAGATTACAACAAGATGACACCAATTAAAAGTTACCAGGGTAAGAGATGCAGTCACTATTTATAGAGAAAAAAAAGTTTTACTTTGGCTTTTACTTTCATATATACAGGCTTTCAGAACTAGAAATCAAGCAGATTGTTAATTTTTAGATCTGCTTTCCGTAAATTCCAGCAGGTATTTCAGAATATATATATTTTTGGCATGATATATAATATTAAGGATGCTTTTTCAGGGCTTCCCCCACTCTTGCCCCAAAACACACATGACTAAACATGAATCTGTTTTGTTCTCCTCCAACGGTTAGACTACAGGATGTGGATGATGAAATAGTTTGACCGCTGTTGTGCAAACAGTTTTAAATGACATTGCTTTTTAAAGGCAGACTTGATCATTTTTCAGATATGCTCTTGGGGAATATTAAGTGTGCATTAAATAAACCACAATATTCTCCAGACCATCCTTCCTCTTCTGTTTTGTCCGGATGTTTCTTTGTAAGGACAAGTAAAGCATGATCTCAAAACATGAACATCAGAGGCCAGATGTTTAGTGTCCCTGGACAAACCAGACCCACCCATCAACCCCAACTCAGCACTTCAGGAGGATCAGACTATTTTCATCCACAACTGTTGTCTTGACATGCATGAAATTCCATCATCTTACCCTCTTCAAGTAGACTTCAAAGAATAGTACTGAGTAATCCCTATTGGAATAATGCACAGAATATGTTGTGCTTGTTTCCGTGCATTGTTGTGCAGAAGCCAAAAGGAAATAATGGGCTCTGTTTCTTTCCTGAATATAGCACTTTTTAAGGTTTGTAACTCACTTTTTTTAGACCTCTACCATTAGGAAAATACTAAATTTTTATCTTTGTAGAACAGAAATGTCTTTAGAAACCTTATGCATTTGTTAAAAGAAAAGAAAATGTATGCTTTCAACTCCCAGGGGGTTGGACTCAGTGGCCTTATAAGCCCCTTCTAACTCAATTATTCTATGATTTTATGATAGTTTGAATGACAATTCAGTGCATCTGTGGCTTATTTATTTTAATATATATGTTTGCCTAGTTTGAAAAGGGATACTTCCACCTTGCTGGGGCTGCTTCTTGGATTTTGAGAAGGACCCCTTTCAGCATTCTTTTGAGAACTGTGGCTCTCCGGATGATGTGGACTGCTCCCTCTTGTGTAACAGAGGAGTGTGTCTGTCCAGCTGTCTCATCAGGGCCTGAGCTTAGGGAATCCGAAAGCATGACCTTTCAAAACGAAATGACTCTGTGTCATAAGCCAGCATGAATAGCACTAATGCTCTGCTGTGACAGGAGGCAATAAGAGGAACAAAGGCTAGTCACAATGGACACTGCATATGATGATCAGATGATTAAATGAACGGACTGTATAAATTAGAAATATTCCTTCCACTTTACAGAATGGGCTCCACGGTTTGGAGCTAAGAAAAAGACAGGCTAAGAAGCCTTCCTATGAAGAATGTTAGATTTCTAAGCTGATGAATGAAGGAACACAGGACAGATGCCAAAGACCTCTGTTGCCTTTGTTCTCTTATCTGGGTGGCCTAGAGTTAATGCCGTAGGGGTCACAGAGAGCAAGAAGAGTGGGGAAGGGGATTACCTTCCATGGCTTTCTGCCATTTTAGGTTTTGTTTTCCTGATGTCCAAGCACCAAAGAGAGTGGGGCTGTGTGCTCTAATGCTCTTTCCCACACAGTTCCACTTGTTGTCATTCTTCCTAGCTGGCTCCAGCTATATTACCAGGCCTCATCCTGGTCAGTGGCCTTCTATACCGCTTCACAATACGGGAAAATAGCACAGATTAGAGGGAGAGCAATGTACAGTAATTGTTTCCCTCAAGGAAGAGGGGAGGAGATAGAGAAACCTGTATGAGAGAGTTATGCCTTTCCTTGTTTTTCCTTCCTGCAGCTCACCAGAGCAGGGTTATGATGGTCCTGTTTGTTCTGGAGATGGAGTGGCTCCTGAGCATTGGGCAGGATAAGTACTTCACTTGGCATTGCTCAGAAAGTGGGCAGCGGCTTGGCAGTTACCGGATTAGTGCAGGGGCCTGTGGGCTACAGTATCCTTTTACACTAATTGTGGCATTGACATCATTCTGCTTTCTTTAATTCTTAAGCATTTTTAAAGATCATTTTTTGACATAATTTCATAGCATGACTAAACACCCAAGCCTAGAATTTATCAACATGATTTAATTGAAATCACAGTATGTCATTACTTACGTACCAAGGTTTACAGGCAAGCTTAAGGGCTCTCAAACATCCTGGCACTGTCCCTCCTGTATGGTGTTTCAAGACACATACAATTTTGGGGAGAAACTAGATGGACAACACGCTGTTACTCACAGAAATATGTTTCCTATTGTGGCACAGGCAAGTGTGCCTTTGAATGAAAAGGTGCCTCCTGCATGTTTCTATGCGTCGTGCTCTTGAGGCATTTGTGATACATGCCTTGGAAAATAAAAGGTTTTGTCTGTGCACCAGAAGCTGTCACACTAAGGTGAGCTTTCTGACTGTTCAAGTACCCACACAAGAACAGGGAGCACAGCCTATGGACTCAACGCTTCCTGGTCTCCTCAGCTTCTCTGTTGGCCAGAGTCACACCACCCTTTATCACTAAGGCTTGTTTGCCGAGGAGAGTGTGGAAGCAAGAGGCTTGCTGTTGCTGCTTTCCCAAGAGTGGGAAGGACAAACATGATGGATTGGGGAAGGGAACGGAAGCCCTGCCTTGCCAGACCACCTTAGCGGAGGCTTTAGGTTGCACATCTTTAGTGTATGCTGGTCTTCTTTTCCTATTCAGTGGAAATATCTGACCTAACAAGATGGTGTGTGTGTTTGTAGGAGAGAGAAAGATTGGTGTGATCATTTCTAAATCCTTGCCTGATCACATTGGCTTAGAATAGCACACCACAACCTTCTCAACCAAACACTTAAACCATTTCCTGGAAGAGGCCGTCCTCTGGGTCTTTACCAGCCATTTGGATCTTAAGAATAGATAGAATTTAGATTGCTATGAATTTAGATCGGTGAGGACATTTGACTGAGATGCTGAGTCCAGGCAACAGTCTCAAGACAATCTCTCTCTTCCCTACTATTTTTTTTACAATTAATTTCTGACACATCTGTTTTATTTATTTATGATTGATTGATTGATTGATTGATTGATTGTTTGATTTATACCCCGCCTATCTGGTCTACTCGACCACGCTAGACATTATGTTCTATTCACTATTTGCACAGAGAGCCATCTCTTTCAATAGTTAATCCCCAACCACCAATTTTCATTCAGTACAAGAAAGGTAAACACCAGCAGAAAAGGAAGGCCAGTGTTGGTACTTTGATCGTACGTAGACTTAAACCCAAACGTACACATATATAGACAAAAGTACAAATGGATAGAAAACCCTCTCATCTCAGCTGACTAAGTTTAAGCCAAAAGGATGTCATTCTGGGCCTTTTCACAGTCATTTTGGATGGTCCACCCTGAGAATATTTGCTGCTATCTCAATCTTGCTAAAATTCAGATTCCGGGTACAGTCGGTCCCTCTGAGAACTGTACAGTTTCCATTGCATGAGCTCTGTCACATAACCAGCTAACGAAACTAAGAGTGCCCCTTTTAAGGAATGAGGGCTTTGTCGGAGCTGAGCCAGGGAAACACAAGGTGATTGTTGTGTTGGGCTCAGAGTTTGGCAGGTGAGTTGTGGAGGTGCTGCTTCTTGCTAGAAGCCCTGCGATGAGAGATCATCCCCTTCTGGGATTCCAAAGGGCAGTAATCCGCAGGCCTGCTAGCGCTAAGAGCCATTCCTGGAATGTTGTCTGTCTCCTTAAGTAACTTCTCCCCCAGATTTGACGTGGAGACACGGCATGTTTTTATTGGTGACCATTCTGGGCAGGTGACCATCCTTAAACTGGAGCAAGAAAACAGCAACCTGATAACAACCTTCCGAGGTCATACAGGTAAGGCATGCAGCCACTGTGGCTCTTTCGATTGTTTTGTCTGTTCAACATTTTTTGAGAGGGATGGGATGAGGAATGCTGTACAGGAAGAATGTTGCATTTACCTCAGAGCCCAACGTATTAGGGAAGGCCATTTCAGTCTAAACAGTCAAAATGCTTTGCTGCCTTGGCTGCTTAAAATATTTTGAGAATTATACCCCTTGCATAATTTAAACAGTATGCCAGGACTTCACCCCACCCTCTACCTCCTCTGGTTATCAAATGACTTCCTTTGTCACGCTACTCCAAGGCCTGATGTCTCATATAGATAGGTAACGTTCAGTGTCCTTGGCTTCAATGCAGGTAGCAAGTAGATACCTGAGAAGACTGTTGCGTTTCAATATAGAGCAATGATGACGGTGGGAGAAAATGGCAAAGGGCTGATAACTCTTTGTCTAACAAGATGGAAAGAGACATTCCAGCCTGTACCTCCAGAGATGGAATTTGAAGCCTGCACCTCTGCTTTGAATGCGTAGCTCCCATGTTGAAGTTGACTTTTAATCCTGGAGTCTGGCTGGCACAGCTGGCCGCAATTTGGGGAAACTTCGGTGTCTTTCTGCACCAGCCTCAGTTCTGTGGTTCCCACTCAGAGGAAGACCCGTACAGGGTAGAAAGCTAGCTCATCTTTTTGGTCTTTTTAAAGTGTTCTTGCTGCCCATCTTTGCCTTTGGGTTGTCTAGCAAAGGAGCAGATAATAGAAAACCATTATCTATCCATAAAAGGTTTCAGGTAGTTTGGTACTTTCTGGATGCTTTGGATTACAGCTCCTATCAGGTTTAAAACAGTCAAAGGTCTTTAAAAAGAGAGAGAGATTGAGATTGAGATTGAGAGAGATGGAAAACTCCACCAATTTTCGGTGTATATTTATATATTTGTATGTATGTATTTGTATATTTTTTTAATCAATACCAATAGAGTTCCTTTCCCCCCACAAGCCTCTGGAAGGGGAGATTTAGAAAAACAACTGTGGTGTTAGGTGAAGTCCTCTTTACTAGCAAACAGTGGTTTTAGAGTAAGTCAGAGGCCAATGTGCTTTCTCTCTCTCTCTCTCTCTCTCTCTCTCTCTCTCTCTCTGTGTATGTGTGTGTGTGAGAGAGAGAGAGATTGATTCAGTTTTACCTCTCATAGCCTGTCTGACCCCTGGGCACTTCACTTTTTAAACAAAGTGCCCTCACCTTCTTTATTGTTTAATGGGAATCCTTTGGTTTGCCTAACATCCTGGTTGTTTATAATGAGAAATGTCTCCCCAACTCTCATTGGTTTCTTCCTTATCCCTGGCCCTACTGTTTTCCAGGTGGGATCAGTGCCCTCTGTTGGGACCCCGTGCAGCGTGTCTTGTTTTCTGGCAGTTCTGATCATTCAATTATTATGTGGGACATTGGAGGAAGGAAAGGAACAGCCATTGAACTACAAGGACATAAGTACGATGCTTTTGTCAAATGCTTCCCATTGTAAAGCCCGCACAGAATCACACACATAGATTATGCTCGCTTTGTTTTCTGGAGTGGAAGTTACTTTGTAAAGAATGTGGCTCTGAATGAATGCAATTCAGGGCTGAATTAACACTTTCTTCCTAATACTGAGTTTCTAGCAAGTAGGTATGAAGTGAGAATATGCAAATAGTCACCTGCTTGTTTTTTCAAGCCCTGGAACGCCCAGCACCTTTTTTAAAAAAACTTTTTCTTTCTTTTCTTTTCTGAAACCTTTAATGGCATTTACAAATTATAACAACACAAGCAAAATAGGAGAAGTAAAATTACAAAAATTTTACAAATTGGGAGCGAGAAGCAGGGGACAATTTCAGAATTGCAAATAAGAAACCTGCAACAGCAGCAGTCAGGGCATTACACCATCACTCATGGAGATAGAAAGAATTGACTGAGAAGAATTGGAAAAATAGGAGATCCAAGATTGTAGAAAAAAATTTGGAGGTGAGAATGAGCAGGGCATTGAAACACTATATGAACCAGGGTGTCCAGCATCTCTTAAAAAAAAAACAAAGTCTTTTTTCACGAGAGATATTGAGAAATCGACCGGCATGGGTGGCCGAAGGAAAAATATTAAAATCGGTTAACATAAAAGCTCTTCTTAGATGTGGGTTTACTAGAGAATGGAAATATTTGGGAGAATGATCCTGAGATGGAAGGATCACAGTCTACCAAGCATAATTCTCCGCTAAACCAAGGTGCATGGCCCCATGGCCTTTATTTTCATATTTTTTCTTTTTGGTCCCTTAGGGTTTTTTCATATTAGGAGTTGTGCAGCCACTGCTGGGTCAGAGCAGCATGGAAAAAATTAAAGTCTGTTCCTCTCAGAGTTGTCCATTCTTGGTGTAAAGTGCCTAGTTTTACATTTTTAAAAAATATACTTCCCTCCATCCCCAGGAACCAGCTTAATATTCCTGAGGGTCACCCTGTCTCACAAGATATACAGGAACGTGGTTATCTTCAAACCTCTTTTTTAAAAAATAAAACCCTACATGTCTCCTGGTGTGGTTGCAATGAATTGTCTTGAATGTGGATTCAACATTGTAGGGATCAAACCTTGGAGGAGGAGAAAAGCTAGCTGATTCCTGGCTGTATTGTATTCCTTGTGTTCTGCAGTGATAAAGTTCAGTCACTCTCCTATTCCCACCACACTCGGCAACTCATCTCTTGTGGAGCAGATGGAGGCATCGTTGTCTGGAATATGGATGTGGAGAGGCAGGAGGTACGTGCTCAATTCTTCCCCTTTCCTTCGACCAGGGAAATGACAACCCAGTTAAGTCTTTTAAAAAGCATGTGGAAAGCCAATCTTTCCATAGGCTTTCCTAGAACAAAATGGTGTTTCATTGTGTTGAGCTCCTCTGCTTCACCCATGGTGTTTTGGTTTGCCTGAGGGTTACTGTACACTGGCTGGGGTACGAGAGGTGGGGGGGGTTGGAGAGGGGTAGGTTCTTGCAGTGAGGAAGAAATTTAGGCAAAGTGCTCAGTTGTTGTTTTATCTAGAAAACCTCCAGAGTTGTTTAATGCTGAGGATCCTTATTGTTTGGCAATGAACATCTTTTCCTTGTGAGCACAAACTGTAAATTAATTACTAGGTTAATCTACATCTATCATCTTTACTAAATCTACTCTTAGTCAGTTTGATTGGGGGATTCCCAGTATGAGGAAGAATGTGAAGGCCGGGTCAGGGGGTTGGGATGGTGAAAACTCTCTCTTCCACCTGAGATTTTGGAGGGGAAGTCCCCCCCCCGTTCCCCTCGGATATTCACATCTGTAGGTATAAGAGGAAGAACACTTTCTCCCAGCTTTTCCCCCAATCAGGAAAAACTATATAAACCTTTCCAATATTATGCACTTTAATTATGAACAAGAGCTATCACAGAGTGGAATTTGCTCTGAATTTGAGACAGGCAGTGGCAGTCGTCACTGGCAGTGCTAGGATTTTGGCAGATAGGAAGTGCCTCTGTCCTAAAACAAGGCAAGAATTTTCTACCAAGAAATAGACATGCAAACAGACTTCTACTATATTTTGTTCAGTGATTATTCTGAATACAGATTTATATTGTTTGGTACAGATTAAAGGCAGGCCTCTCTCTGGTTCTCTATATGCATCTTTCTCTTAATATTGGGGCACAGGGGAGATGTCAGTAAGCAGTTGAGAACCAGTGATCAATGAACCATAGAATAACTCCTAGGAAATGTTCCTCTAGGACTGTGGCTCCCGACCTTGGGTAACTCAAGTGTTCTTGGACTGCAACTCCCAGAAGCCTTCACCACTTAGCTGTGCTGGCTGGGGCTTTTGGGAGCTACAGCCCAAGGTTCAGAACCACTGCTCTAGGATGATGGCTGATGTGTAAGGTTCCATTTAACTATAGATCCAGTGCTGTACTGATAATATACCTTGCCCCCTTTGGCCTGTTATCACATAGGGAAACTATTACTCAACACACACACACTCTTTCTCCTGATTTTCCTGCTGAATTGTGCAATGTCACGCCAGTCTGCAGTTTAGGGTTACTTTTGTTGTATAGCTCATATTAGCAGAAGCAATACTTAGATGTTTAAAACAATGCTTCATAAGGTATTGCAATGTTTTTATATATATAGAAAACTATATGCACATACAGCAAATCTGTGCACATGTGCCTATCACTGGAATGGCATGTCTGTTTCTGCCCAGCCACTTGCACAGAGGCTAGTACACAGCATATAATTTGAATTCTGAAAAGTTCCATTTTAAAAATTAATTTAGCCTTCACAATCATTTAACGTGATGCACTTTGAAATGCCCACCCCATGTCCAGCATTTAGGCACACAGTTCTTGTTTCTCATCTTGAAACTGCCAGTGATCTTTCAGTGGCTTTACACTATCAAACCCTGTGGCTTAGTGGTTAAACTGCAGTGCTGCAGTCAAGTCTCTGCTCCTGACCTGAGTTTGACAGGTTTAGGTTGCCGGCTGAAGGTTGACTAAGCCTTCCATCCTTCCAAGAGGTTCAGGTTGCCGGCTGAAAGTTGACTAAGCCTTCCAAGGTTGGTAAAATGAGTACCCAGCTTGCTGGGAGGCAAAGTGTTCCTTCCATAACTATGTTGCAAACCGCCCAGAGAGTATGTTAGCACTATGGGGTGATATAAAGTTGAAACAAAAACAACAACAATAATCTTCTAAAGCTACCTTTTATAAGACTGTGAGTTATCAGGTTGCCGGCTGAAAGTTGACTAAGCCTTCCAAGGTTGGTAAAATGAGTACCCAGCTTGCTGGGAGGCAAAGTGTTCCTTCCATAACTATGTTGCAAACCGCCCAGAGAGTATGTTAGCACTATGGGGTGATATAAAGTTGAAACAAAAACAACAACAATAATCTTCTAAAGCTACCTTTTATAAGACTGTGAGTTATTAGGTATCATTTAACCACAGATTAAAATGGCTCACTGACTGATCAGTGAGTAAATACAGATTCAGTTGTAAAAGATCTGCCATTGTTCACAGATGTGTGAACATGATTTTCACCTGAAGAGAGGAGAGATTTAATTATAACTCCTCCAGGATCCACAACAGACAAATATTTCCATCCTGAGTGAAAGTATTCAGTAACTATCACAGTCCCATTTCTCAGAAGTCATTAAAGCCAGTTCTCACTGACTACATGCACAGACCCTGTGGAGGAGCAGGCGGTCTTTTAGCTTCGGCAGGAGAAATTAATTTTTCTCCACCCATGTCCCTCTGCCAGCTGAATGGACGCTGTTGGAGGAATGGGGCCATCTGGCTCTTGCCTCTCTCAGCACCACCTTCAGAGTCTCCTTTAGAGCAGTGGTCCCCAACCTTGGGCCTCCAGATGGACTTCAACTCCCAGAAATCCTAGCCAGCAGAGGTGGTGGTGAAGGCTTCTGGGAGTTGTAGTCCAAGAACATCTGGAGGCCCAAGGTTGGGGACCACTGCTGTAGAGGGTTGGAGGATAGCCTAGAACACTTGGGGATCACAGGGTGACGAGAGGGAGAGGAAGGCAAACTCTGCTACTCAAATGGTGTTTTCCTTGTGCGCCACTCTGTGCAGGCACATGGAGGAGGTGGACTCCCTGTATGTCAGATCCATGTGCATAATTAAGAACGGTGCTGCAACTGGGATTCTTGATCACAAGAACAGACTCTGTGCACCTTGATAGACTCACATGGTCTGATCTTATTGCCTTCTGAGGGTGGAAATGTGTGAGACTGAACCAGCAGATAGGAGGCGTGTGCCAACGCAGAAAGGGAAGGGGAAACTCTCTGACATATGGAGTTGCTCACTCCTCATTCACATCTTTCCAAACATGATTGTCATTTGAACTCACGTGTCTTACTAGAATGCTAGTCATGGAATAAAGTGTTGGCTGCGTGAACTCTTTGAGGGACTTTCTTGATCAGTTTGGAGATCATCAAGATGTCCTTTTGTTCCAAGGGCAGGTAGCCTTTGCTAAATAATAAGGGAATCTCACACTTAGGAGAAAGAACTCCCTTTCAGGTAAGGGACTTCACTGAGGATGTTCTCAGTAAATAAATATTAATCATCAATGACTAATATTTAAAAGTCAAATAATTAATGGGGGGAAATCTCACACTTTTTTCGTCAGCATCTTCTTCCTGGCTTCTGGTGGTCCTCTTTCTTTATTGTTAAGGACAGGGAGAGGAAGCACAGGTTTGCCTTCTAACCTCTGGGTCAGCCTTCCTGAACCTCATGCCTTTCAGCTGCTGATGGACCACAGTTCTCAGCCGCCTTCACTGCTGGCCACATTGGCTAGTTCTTATTAGAGCTGATGTCCAAAGCATCTAGGAACAGTGCTTCCCACTCTTGGGTCCCTGGATGTTCTTTTGCTAAAATTTCCAGAAATCCTGGCCAACACAACTACTGGCAAAGGTTTCTGGGATTTTTGGTCCAAGATTAAATGGGGACCCAAGGTTGGAACCACTGCTCTAAGAAGGATCCAGGTTCAAGAAGACTGATCATAATCTATAGAAACGTAGTGCAGTATAGAAAAATCTCTGATTGCACAACTTATTTTAATTTGCCCCATGATGGAATGTAACATTAGCTAATCCTGGTTACTGTTTTGACCCTGTACTGGCCCTGTGCCTTAAGAGTTTTTCTTTCCTCCTCCTTTCTTTAGACACCAGAATGGTTAGACAGCGACTCTTGCCAAAAGTGTGATCAGCCATTCTTCTGGAACTTCAAGCAAATGTGGGATAGCAAGAAAATAGGCCTGAGACAAGTATGTGGCATGGTGCTCTTTAAACAGTTGAATCTGGTGTCCTGTTCTGCTTGATGCAGTTGTCTGCATGCTGATAATAAACTGTTTGGGGGCCAGGGGCAGAATAGGTAGGAACATAGTGGTTTGTTGATGTACAGAAAGGGCTTGAGGGAGAAGAAAAAACTTTTGAAAGACAGTAGGACCCCTGTATCTGTGCGGTTAATATCTGTTGTTTCACTTATCTGCAATCTGAAAATATTTAAAATATTAAAAGAAAAAACAGGAATACAGTGGTGCCTCGCTTAATGGGTGCTCCGTTTAGCGACGAAACCGCATAGCGATGAAGATTTTGCAATCGCAAAAGTGATTGCATTGCGATGTTTTAAATGGGGTTTTTTCGCTTTGCGATGATTGGTTCCGTTTCACTTACCGATCATCGCAAAGCGAAGATTTTTTAACCGCCGCCAGGTAAAAAAAAAATAGCCACCTGCTGTGTTTTCACACGGATTCCTCGCTTAAGAGGCGGCGAAAATGGCCGCCATATGGAGGATCTTCTCTTTAAGGTCAGTTTTTTGCTCATAGGAACGCATTAAACAGGTTTTAATGCGTTTCTACGGGCTTTTTAAAATCGCAAAGTGACGAAATCGCTTAGCAGCGATTTTTGCTGCACGGATTAACGTCGCTATGCGAGGCACCACTGTATATATTTCCATGATGTAATTATCCGAACTGGCCACTAGAGGGAGCCAGAGACCATGCAATACATAGGTTTACTATTATCCACAGTTTTGGCATCTGCAGGGGGTTTGGAAATGATCCCTTACGGATAAGGAGATCCTCTTGGGCTATAGGACATGTCTGGGAAGCATGAAATGAGAGAGGGGATGGAGGCTGTTAGAATAAGGGCATGGCTCACTGGTTGGAGCTTTGATCAGGAACATCCTATGCTGCACTGTTTTGTTGCAGGGTTCCCCTTGTATCTCTGTGTTGCTGTTACTCACGTATGCTGTGAATGAGATACAGTACCCACTATTTCTACTGAGTCAGAGAAGATAACTTAATGTTGTCCCTTGTCAGGGCATTTTTTTGCAGAAGCCCCAAACAACCTGAGCATATTTTCCCAGTCTTGGCACACTGCATTTTGCTGCTAGACCTGATTGTATTAAACACTACCCTTGGCTAATGTGATTGGTCTACAGACAGGCTTTTTCTGCCAGAGAAAGTGTTTTATTCAGAGGAGGCAAACTTGATACAAAAAGTTAATAGTGAACCTATTACTGCTTTCTTACTGAAATAGCTACTGAGCTCAGGAACAGTTAGTTAAACTGTTAACTCCTTTCTACTAACATTTCCATCTCTGGCATTGTAAATGAAGGGAAATTCATCCATTTGGTAAAAAGGAGGGGGTAGTACATATGAACACTTTTCTTTTAAATAATGGAAATATTTTTAAAGCCACTGCAGTACCCACAGTGCCTGGAGGTTACTGTGAAAATTTGCTCAATTCCTCCATTTATAAAACATGGAAACAATCACTCCTGGTAGATCTTAAGCTCACGGCATTATGGCTTCGTGTTAATGAAACACTGGGTTTGAAGTTAAATGCACACAGCTTGGCCAGCAGCAACTCCACTTTCCCTCCTTACTTGAATAGGTTTCCGATTCCTGATCTGGATCGGCAGAGCTTTGTAGAGAAAAGAAATACTATTGCAGAAGTGAGAAAACACATCCGTTAACATCTTGGGTAGACTGTGTGTGTGCGTGTGCGTGCACACATGTCTGTATGTATTCTTTCGCCTCACTCAGAGGACCCCGATGTGCTTTTAATTTCAGCATCATTGCCGGAAGTGTGGGAAAGCAGTGTGCGGCAAATGCAGCTCAAAGCGCTCCTCCATCCCACTCATGGGCTTTGAATTTGAAGTGAGAGTCTGTGACAGTTGTTATGAATCAATAACAGATGAAGAGTAAGTCGCTGTTCCCATCTTCTATTGTCTTACGCTTTCCTGTCACTCAGCTATCCTGTCCTCCTCCAGTTCCTAGCAAAAGATTCCAGTCTCTCTGGTGGGAAGCAAACCATTGCAACAGACCAAATTTTGGACATAAACCTTTCTAAGTCAGGATTAGTCGCCTGGTGCTGTTTTGAATAACAACGCCCACATTCCCTGATAGTTCGTTCCATAGTGGCTGAGGAAACTGGCTTTCCTGCCTTTGCTTCTAAGCAATGTAGATAAATATGAGACATCAAGACAGTAGATTTTACTGTGGTCGCTCTAGGACAGAGGTGGGGAGACTTCAGCCTTGTGGAGGTATTTTTTAAAAATCAGAATGCACAAAATGACCAAACAGAAACAGATGCAAGAAGGCCTCCATTTTAGAATTAAACCATTCTGAGCCCAGGAATTTATTAAAGAACCAGAACTGAATAGAGCTAATTGTTCTTACATATTTTAAAAAAAAAAGATTCCTGCCCTCTCTTGCATGCTCTTATTTTCTTTCTGACAAACAGAACTTGCTTCAAGTCATTTAAGTGGGGAAGGGGGCCATTTTATTGCTGCAATGATTAAATAATTGGGGACCAGTCATCCTTGTCAGTCTTCTGAGTTGTCACCCGCCCACCTGGCTTCCCTGTAGCACTGGCTTCACCCTACTCCTCCTTTGCTCTTTCCTCAGGCGTGCTCCCACAGCCACCTTCCATGACAGCAAACATAGTGTTGTCCATGTTTACTTTGATGCCACCCGGGGGTGGTTGCTGACAGCTGGGACAGACAAGCTTATTAAGGTAACACTCAGGATGGGCCTTAATGGGTGTATCCTAATCATTTTTAGGGCCCTGCTGCTGTTGATTCCTGTCTCTTCCTTTCCCAATGTTAGTAGCTTTCATGAGGTAGAATTACTGGAACTATTCATGAAGATTTGAGTAAATCCTTTCTCTAGTGGTTTTTCGCTGACGCCATGTGTCTCCTTTTAATAGTTGTGGGATATGACACCTGTAGTATCCTGATGCTTCCATGAAACACAGAACATCTCAGTATTCCTGGAGACGGGATTCCTGATCCTACTGTAGAAGATGAAGCACGCTGTGTAAGGACTGAGGAGGATGACAACTCATACTTTTGGATGGTTTTTCAAGCGATCTATTGGACCTGGCGTGAACACTTGCACCAAACCACCCTACATCTCTTTCTCGGAACAGAGGAGCTATTTTTTAAAAAACTAAGGGGAAAAATCACACAATCTGACTCTGTTTAGCCATTTGGAACTTGTCTGGAAAAATCTGTGTGCGGTGCAGTTTGTGTTTCATGTTCTCTGTTGACTTGTGCTGTTTGCTGTGGAGGAGTTATTTGTAAATGTGAGCAGCTTCTGCCATTATTGTGTTGGCGTGGCCAAGTCTGCTCTTAGGAGAGAGAACAGAAAGCAGCATTTCCCTCTTTCTGTATTGTCCAGTTGAGTCATTGAGCAAGAACCTGAATTATGAATTGTTCTCAAAGTTCAGAGAAACAAGAGCTCTTCAGCTAAAAAGGTCGCCTTTGTACTTGTAGTCCAGAAAACAGTTCTGTGGGGGAGGAAAGGTATTTTCTGTTGCACAGCCAAGAGGAATACTTACTTTTTAACAAACATTTCAACAGCTGAAATGCCCTCGTTACTTATTGTAGAAACCAGTTCAAACTAAGGCTGTGTAAAACAGTTATAAATTGTTGCCAATACTACCTTGTCATTGCAGAGAACATCCCCAAATTTAGCTAAAGGAGGCAAAAATGTGTCCTTTAAGGTGCAGTTGGACTGCAACTCCCATCAACCCTAGCTGGTAGACCTAAACAGGGAGGAGGAATGTTGGGAACTGAAGTCCAACATCTGGAAGTCCAGCAGCTTGCCCATCCCTGGTTTAGCTGGACCAGCACTACTGGAATGTCCTTTGGCGTCTTGACTAGGATTGATGTGCTTTGCTGGGCATGGTCTGGAACTATTTTATTTTTGCTACCTCTTTGGCAGTATGTGTGTTTTTAAGACTGCTGATAATTGTGTTCTTTTTAAATTTGAAAACCCCCCCCGATCCCATTAATACGGTTATGTTTCAAATTTTATTTTCCTGCCTTATTAGGAAATTCTTTTTTTTTTCAATAAATAAAAATACAAATATAAATTGCTTCTTTCAGAGCTTATAGGATAAATGACCTACAGCCCTCTTCTGTTTCAGCCTCTGCCTGGTAGGTAATATGGAATCCATAGTTCATCTCTGTCTTACAGCTGATTTAAAAGGCATTTGCTCTGGTGGTGATTTTCACCTCATTTGCTGCAGAAAGTGGAGGTTCAGGCATGAAAATTAACATTTAGATTAATATACCAGTCTTTCACATTTCTATATAATCAAATTATTTAGAAAAATCCTCCATCACAACTGAAGCTTGATGAGAATTTGCCAGTCGAAAAGACAGCTCACTCTCTCTCTTCTGGCATTTACACTCATGGATTGTGCATTCCCTGGACTGAACTGTGGGACTCTGAATGGATTGAGCAAGGCGTCTCCTTTCATAGCAGCTGTATGCATTTCTGAAAGAGGACATCTGAATGGGAAGTTAGCTCCTCAACATGAAATCTTGTGCCAGGATTGCCCTATTGAGTTTGGAACAGTATATACTATTCAAAAAGAGGTTACACTCAACACAAGGGGTGAGAGAATATTCTTACCACCCCCTCCACTTTTTGGAGGAGAGGCCCTGTGTGCACACCTACTGAAAACGAAGTGCTCTGTAGTCTCCCCTCTTCCCACTGACAAGGGAGAAGGGCGGGGCTAGCATGTTCTGCTTCATCAAGGTTTGATATGAACCCTTTTGGAATAGCTAGGGCTTAATACAGATATAGGCAATAGATCCACATTCACAGAACTGCTGCGAGCAAGGTAAGGTACCTCTAATCACATCAGTGAGATGCTGACTACCACAACATTTCTACATTAAGAAAAATGAGACATTGCATGGCTGATAAACTATAAAGAGCAGTGCAGTTTTAAAATATCACCCTCCTAATAAGGCAGGCAGACATCAGTAGGAACATATGATTAGCTGTTTACTTGTTCATCAGAGAGAGAGGAGCGCCAGCTGTCAGAAATCTTTCTAAAGCTTTTTTAGCTTTAATGGGTAACATCTGGAGATTTTTAAATTGTGGCAAGTTTCCAGCAAAGAGGGAAGCTCATAAGTGGCATATCCACTGCAACTTAATGTGATATTGGCTTCTACCTTGTGCTGCTATACACAAGGGACAAGATTAATTTTAGTGACACACACACTCCCAAGACCTTTTAATTGTTTAGGTTAAAATCAGCACTTTGAAATTTTCTGGGAAGATGGCCACTATACTTGGATCAGATCAAGATTTATGGCATCTCGTTTTTTCAAAAACAGCAAGTATGAAGTAGATATCAAAAAGACAGGTCATGCAAATAACATGACCGCAAAGAAGCCTAAAGTGCTGTGGGAGCAGAAGCCCCATTCTCCTTCTTTGCCTTCTCTTCCAGGCAGTGGTATTTTCTGTGTCTCTAGTACACCTACCCTCCTCCAGCCAAGAATGGAAAGTACTCTGGAACAGGAATTATTTGCATCAAACGTATCCCATTGCAACCAACTAGACAAAGGCCTTCAGGAATCAGGCCCATGTCTCTATTTTCACCTTCTGGATTATGTTTTTAAAACATGAGATCATTTAAACACAAATCATTTTCTAAATAAATGTTTAAACATAAAGAACCTTTGTGTTTAAATGTTTATTTAGAAAATGATCTGTGTTCTCATGTAGCAAAATCAAGCACATGATCAATTTCTACATATTAAACTTTCCAAGTGCAATGAGGCTTTGTTTAGCTACGCCTTCAGTTAGTTCAGTTTTGAACTATGTCACTATAATAAACTCAGAACTCTTGTTAGAAAAGAAGCAGGAATTGGTGATTATCAGGGTTTAAACTTCTGGGAAAGCTCTTCAAGAGCCTGCATCAGTTTTTCTTCATCACCAGGAGAAGATTTTGTCCATGCCAGTGGTAAGTGAGTCGGAACAGGTTGTCTGTCTGTAAACAAAATGTGGAAAAGAGAGAGTACAAATATTAGCCAGCAAAACTAGCTTAGCAGGAAACCTAATTTCTTCCTTTTTATTAGTATCAGTGAACAAATAAAGCACCAGTTGAGGGGTCGCAGTTTGAATCAGTAGCAGTTTAATGTTCACCGTACAAAATCGGTAGGGAGCGTATAGCATTCCAGGTATTGGACGGTAGTTCCCATAATACACCACAATTGACTATTCTGACAGGAGCTGGAGAGTATGACAATTATCTGGAGAGTCCTGTGTTTCTCACCTCAGTGAAAAGTACTGGGGCCATTTCATTGCTTATACTGCAAGAAAACCAGGTTGTCACAATTATGTACATGTGCAGAGAAGAACATGTAATCTCAGCTCCAAAGCCCTGACTTTGCAGAACCTCAGGTTTGCAGGATTGTTAATGACAGGGCCTCTTGGAGGCCACGGCTCCATAGGGTTGGCACAAGCAAAGAAGCAACTCGAAGGCACATAACAACGGCTAACTTGTAAGCCTGCACGATGCATGTATTTGCGATCACACTTGCAGTCACACTTTAATTTCTACATGGTCTCTTGTACATCATTCCTGGAGGGCAGGTTTGGTTGTGGTTTGTGAGGATGCTATGATGAAATCACTTTACCTTGAAAGAACAGTCCGCTTGCCTGCTTTCTTGCTGCAGGGGAGACGGCGAGCCATACCACGGTGTCTGCCCCTTGAGCCTCAGTTCGCAGCCTGTCCTTCATCTTCTCATAGAAATCTGGCATGGAGGTCCTCACCGCTGCAAGGTAACAAATCTGATAAGTACACAGTTCAAATGCTTTGCTTCTACGAACTAAATGGAAAGCATTCTTCTCCCAGTGATCGCTCTTCACCTGGCTACGGTGTCTGCCCCCTGAGCCTCAGTTCGCAGCCTGTCTTTCATCTTCTCATAGAAATCTGGCATAGAGGTCCTCACCGCTGCAAGGTACACAGATCTGATAAGTACACACTTCAAATGCTTTGCTCCTACGAACTAAATGGAAAGCACTCTTCTCCCAGTGATCGCTCTTCACCTGGCACTGTTTTAGTCCTGGGATACTCTGCCCCTGTAAAACTATAGCACCCCAATCTCTTCCAGTCCCAAATCCTCTTCTCTCAGCTACCTTAACATTTTGGTTAACACAAAGGCCCCTTCCTTACCACAATGAGCATTTTTTTTTGTATCTAGCAAGAACGACATCTCAAAATGTGGTTATAATTACATTTACAATGGTCTTAAAACTGTCTCCAGTAATCTCACTCAATATAAAATGGAGGTGGTGATGTTCTGAAACTGCGAGATGGAACTTTGACTTTTTATCTGTGCGTGATGCTGTTGTTAAGCATGTGCAAGCAAGAAAAAAAAACTGTGCCAGAAAAACTAGAAGTCTCTTAGGAAATTTGATTAGAAGTAACACCAGCATAGTGTACAGTCAATCATATATCTCTGTATAATTTGGGCTGTTCTAGTAAATTTTACCTGGTGGCCTTAGGTAGTAAGTATCCATTCCCAGAAAAACTAGAAACTAACTGATACACAATTTTGTCAACAAGGTCCTAAAAAGGAACATTGTGCGTATCGTGTTTCGCTCACCAAAGAAGCAATTTGAGTTTACAATAAATTTGTTTGGCTTTGTTGCCCACCTCAAAGATCATGACTACTCCCCACTATTGGTTCTGGATCCAAAGAGAAAGTGATCTACATTGCGAAGTCAACGGGCGACTTCTACCAAAAAAAAAAAAAAAAGATTAATTTCTGGCAGGAATGTTACCAAAACATGAGACTCCTGTTCTTTTAGAGCTATTGGCTAGATTGCAGGGGCGGGGAGTTTCCTGACTTGTTCAAGTGGTAGTGCCGCACAGCTGGAGCAGTAATACTTGGTCATATACATAAAATGCATAATGTCCCTCTGAGTGTAATCAGGCTTGCGTTTACTAAAGAGTCACACACAGCACAACACAGGCCGAAATCCTGTTGCTTAGCATGTTAAGTCACAGGTTTACTAAAGAATCACACACAGCACAACACAGGCCAAAATCCTGTTGCTTAGCATGTTAAGTCACAACTAGAGTAGGCTCATTGAATCAGTGGGTATTTGTTGAGTCAATTCCTCTGTAAGTTCCAGTGATTCAAATGGACCTACTCTAGTTGTGACTTACTACACTAAGCAACAGGATTTCATCCACAGACTATTCTCATTTTAAGCCCTTTCTAAGGTCCATCCCAGTTTTTCCCCAGAACATTCACCTACTGTTTGGCAGGGAGGCCTGCTTGCTGTTAAATATTAAAACATAATACTGTAGCTTGAATTTATCCTGTACTTTTCATCTCCGTCTGCTCTACAAGACACAACCAGCAACAATTAGGGGGGAAATCATCTATTTTAGTCTTTTAACCTCTAGCTACTGTAAAGCTAGGAAAAGTTAAAATCAGTGGGGGAAAAGGGAAGACCTAACATGAAATTTACTGATTCGATGAAAAAAATCACAGTCCTAGTTTACAAGGGCTGCTAAAACCTTCTGGGGGCCATTAATCTATAGGATGGAAATGATCTGGTTGCACATAACAAACTGCAGACTTTCAGGCTACTTCTTAAGTTGCCAAATTGTCTAGCGCTAACGCAGCTGCACTGTTGTAAACTGGCATATGCCATTAGCCTGCAGCATCCAAATAAGTTGCCAAATTGTGCTAGTGCTAACGCAGCTGCACTGTTGTAAATGCATATGCCATTAGCCTGCAGCATCCAAATTCATGTACACACTTGCAATGAACAGTGAGACAAAAAATCCTGCAAGGATATAAGCCTCTTCATACGGTAGTTGCCAAAAGCCTACAAATAATCCTCTCTCGCCTTGCTCGCTAAATACTTATGAGCAGAGAGGAGTATAAACTGCCAGTATTTCTTGACCTCACCATCTTTTCCTCTGGTTCAGAATGGACCCCTTTCACCTTCCTTCTTGAACGAGGGGGGGGGAGGAACATTAAAACTTCAATGCCACTTTATAAGGAGGAGCATTTAGAAAGATCCTTTGGATCCTCCCTTGGAAAGATCCTCTACTAGACCACCACCCTGTAACAGCCGAAGGGGTAAACTCTGCTATTCAAGCAACAAATACCTGGAGTATCTGCCCAGCCAGGATGCATAGAAGAAAAGTGGATGTTGGGATGTGCTTTAGCCCACTGCTCAGTCAAAACCACTTGCTGTCTCTAGGATACAACAAAAGGCGTCAAACTGGAAAAAAAGCAATAGGCCATTTAGTCTGGCAGCTTCATCCTTAATACTGACTACTACAGAAAAAGCTCACCATGTTTCATTCTTTGCTCAAAGTGGCCATTTCTTCCCATCAAACATCAGTGCATTCAAGCCACTTTATGGTCTACCTCCTTTCTCTATGAAAATAGTGCTGGCATCTCTTTCTGGAGGGGAGGAGCAGCTTCATTCAAAAAACTCAGTTTAAAAAAAATGCATCCTCTGCACGGTTTGGACAGTCTATTGGGCTCTGTGTCTCCATTCTACCCTTGAAGCTGGTAAGAAATGTTCTTCACCCAAACTCTTCTGAAATACAAGTTTCTGAACATTGCAAGCTTCCAGAGTCCTTTTCTTTTCTGCATCAATACGGATCCTATGTTGTTAATATTGCCTCTCTTTTAGTTCTTCGGGGTGGGGGTGGTGAGAGAAACTGTTGAGATAATAACAATCTTGCATCGTTAATATTGCCTCTCTTTTTAGTTCTTCAGGGTGGGGGTGGTGAGAGAAACTGTTGAAATAACAATCTTGCATGCTTCCTAACACTACATATAACTGGGAGTGGGGCTTTTAGGACCTAAAGGAATTCTCCTTTCCCACTAACCTCTCTCCTCGCCTGACCTCTGAGCAGTCAGGAAGCATAGAGAGGTCTCTCTCACCTGTGGATACTCCATTTATTCTGTGTTCCTAATGACTGTAGCTATAGATAGCCACTGTAACTAAAGATACAATACCTCTTTCCTCCACCACTTAAAATGCTTCCAGAGTGATTGTCAACATATAAAGTGCTAGTCACTGTGAAAAGAGGTGAGCTATTGAGACTTAAGCTGTTCTCTCATACTTTCTTTGTACAGTTGTTGGTTCTACCTGATGATCTGCTAGTTATAAAGGGAATTAACCAAATTCTCTGGTAGAAACGATATAATCTTTTAATCTCTTGACCTTGAATCAAATATCATGAATCCTACCTTATTCTGCGCATAGACCATTGTGCCATCAAATGCTGTTTTTTCTGACTGCAAGTCTGATACATTTAGTTTCTGAACTAACATCCCTCCTGAGGACACAGTGATCTGAAAATTTAAAATAAATGAAATACATCAATATGAGAGGCTAAAAGCTTTCCCCTCCTCACCTCCAGAACTGTCCTCCAATTCTTAACTGCAACTAGACATACTATTGAGTTCTTTTTATTCCACTTCGAAAGACAAAGGTATTTAGGAGTTATACACCAAGTCATGTTGAGGCAAGAATATTAGTTATTCAAATGGAAGATGCCAGGAGTTTTGCATAAAGCTGTATGCCTGCTCTTTTCTTGGGAAAGCATAACTGAACCTTTTTAAAAAAAGCTGTGATGCTGGAGGTGGGTTAGAGATAGGGTATTTGTATTCCCAGGGGATACAAATATGAATATTGCCACCACAGGTAACCTAGTGCCTCGGATCCTCTCCCCGGAACCATCCCAGTCCACTCACTGTGTTTCACATGGCCACTTGTCATCCCACCTCCTTGCTGGAGTGGTCAGCACCAGCAGGGCTACTTCAGTGACTGGCGTGATGTTACCAATGGCGGCATGCGAAGCACAGCGAGTGGACTGGGATGGTTCTGGGGGGAGGATCCTTCATCTGAAAGCCTGCAGAGGGTCAGGAAAAGTTAATTTTTTTTTACTCACTTCTCTCTCCCTCTGTTGGTGCTGTTTTGTTTTCTCCCTTCCCTGCTCCCCACATCCCCTCTCTAATTCTTCCCCCACTTTCTCTCTCTTCTTTCAGAACCTGCAGCCAAAATGACAGAGGCTATTATCTCCCAGACAAAACAATGAACGTGCCAGAAAAAAAGAGAAAAGAATGCATGTCCTGTACCTGGGTCAGAAAGATGCACAACAGCTCTTAAAGGGCAAGGATGGCTCATTCTAAGTAGAAACGCTTGCAGATGAGATCTTTTTGTCTGATCCAAACTGTGCCATTAGCAATCCATACACCATAGCTGTATGCCAGTATAGACAGGCTCTTAGCTGTGCGAGTTGCATCAAATGTTATTTTAAACTCCTACTGGCATCCAGCACCACAAAAAAAATGTGATTCATATTTCTCAGGGGGAAAAGAAGTTGAATGAAAAGCTGTTGATTAAAGCGCTTCATGTAAAATAGGCATTTTGTGTTGTGCAAATGTTTGTACCAGCATATACGGCACTGGTTTCAGTGATGGTTTCACATTGGCCTGGCACAGAAATTTGGTTGGCTCATGACCCAGTAAAACAGCCTTTAATCTAAAGCCAAACTTAAAACAATACATGGTATTAAATTAGTATATTAATATGATTCTGGGATCTGAGATGCCTTCTTTCTTTCCCTTCCTCACAAATCACACACAGACAGATCCTTTAGGGCAGTGGTTCTTAACTTTTGTTACTCGGATGCTTTTGAACTGCAACTCCCAGAAACCCCAGTCAGGACAGCTGGTGGTGAAGGCTTCTGGGAGTTGCAGTCCAAAACTCCTGAGTAACCCAAGGTTAAGAACCAGTGCTTTAGGGGTTTTCATAGGAAAAAAACATTAGTCACAACTCCATGCTATCGTACCTCCTTTGCTCTCTCAACCATTGATCTCTTTCAACAAACTTTAAAGTCCACTGTGGATAAATCAATGTTGAAAACATGACAATGTTTACCATAGATCTGAGTCATAGATCTCTTGAGTCAATGCATTATCTTCCCTGCTTGGATCAAAAGCAATTCTCTTATGTAGGGAACAGAGCCCGTTGGCCTGACTATGTAAAGTCTACTGAGAGTTTTTAAATGATATTGATGTGTTTGTATCAACACCCATTTAAAGAGCTTTATGCTGCAGATTCCTTCCTTTTCCCTGCATGCAATTCCAGCACAGCATCAGCCAAAGTGGCCAGCCTGCTCCAGCTGTAACTGGCACTGAGTAATTAATATTAAGAAAATGGGCACAGAAAAGAATATCACGAAAATACACCATTTACTTTCAAATTAATACATGCAAACTTACAACTCTAGCATCATCTTCCTTTCCCAGGAGCGGTAAAAGTACTGTTGTTAAAATGTATGTACCTAGAAGATAAATTCAGGATATTTAGCTGGCATATCCTTTGCTATACCTAGTTATTTTTCTTTTTCAGTACTTTCATTTTCATTGAGCTGGAGATTCTGCTTTGCTATATACACACATAAACATGATCCACCTAACCGCAGTTTGCAAGATATTAAAAGAAACAGTGTTGCCCTTATGAGCCAATCAAATATTTGCACATTTTTCCAGGTACAACTATTATCTTGGACCAAGAGGCTATAATACAGCATACTTCTGAAGTTTCCCCACACTATTTGATGAACACATCAATGATAAATTCTAACTTTGCCTTGAAGAGCACAGAAGCAAAAAAAAGCTATCCAGGCAGAAACATTATCTATAACCAGAAACAGTACAGTACTAGAGAAAAGGCTTTAAAAAGTGCATGGTGGAACAGAATTTTAAGCAGCAAGAATACATGAGTGTATTGAATTGCCGTCAAATAAGAACTTTATCCCACCGTGTGGATAGAGTTAAAGGAACAGTGCCAGTACTGTATTTCAAAAAGCAACCTTAAATACTGCTACAGAATCTTATTTGTTGTGAAATGATCCAAGGGTCACTGATTCACTCATGATCTTTGAGAGGCTGGCATAAGACGAAGAGGCTATATTAGCCTGTTTATTGTTTAAATCCCTCTCATCACAGTTTCCTCTCACTCTCTTGTAACCTGGCTTGGAGCAGCACAGCAGCTGCTTTCTCCCCTTGTGTTTAAGACTCCCTGTGAAGATCTCTAACACGACTCCTCTTCCCAGCTACTAATCTATCACATCCTACACTCCTGATATCCATCTCTCTCTTTTTCCTCTTGTGATTAGAATTAGCAGGATGAGTGACAATTTCTGTGGAATGTTAACAGACCAAATCTGCCAGTTTACTTATTCTCCTTCTTTCCATCATCGGAGGAAAATAAGAGAAAGAGTTTACCAAGAATGTGTGTTTTTGCTCCTTTCTATGGTAATGTAGAAAATATCAGAAAAAACTCTGCATGATGTGCAAAACTGGAGCACTGAAGAGGTTGCCTCCAGTATACAAATATCTTTTCCCTAGCATAGCACAAGGCCTCAGAACTTACAACTCATCACCACCCAAACAACACACCAAAGAGCACCATGCAAAGAGTGTACAAAGTTAAAAACGCAAATATAGTTTTTCAAGTCTAACCTTTTGCCTCAGAGCAGCAACACGTATTTGTTTACCTGGTTAATCATATTTTCCAAGGACACATTTCCAGTCTCCCTGGGCAGGAACCTGAACTGTTTTTATCTCATTAAAACATTAAATCTATCTGCTATAGACTTCCTGAAATCTAAAAAGAGAGGTATATTCTATTGCTCCTTTTGCAACCTTAGAATATAAAAACCATTCAGAAAGGGCAGTGTATTGCTTTCTAACTTGAAACATTCAAGGAAGATTACTCAGTCAATCGAGGAGCACCCATTCTTCCAACAAGCAAGCTGTGTCTTCCACTTCCAGGGGTCAGCATCCACATGTTTAGAGGGCTACAATGCCTGGGAGAAATGCCCTACTTACCCAAAGTGTTGGTTGCAAAATTATTTTCAAGTCCATCTTCTGTTAGTTCTCTTTTGTTAACCATGCAGCCTGCATTGTTGATCTATGAGAGATAAATGTAGTAGAAAAGATGTAGCTGCGCTATAGTGGTACATCACAGTCTTTGAATGCTATAGTAGCAGAGCTTACAAGAACTCCTGCATTCAAACCCCAGCACCTCTGAGTATAGCTAGGAAAGATTTCTCTTTGAAACCCAGGAGACCAGCTGCCAATCAGCAGAGACCACACTCAGCTAGATGGACCAGCGGTTTGACTCAGCTTGAAACAGGACTCACATGGCTATCAACAGTGATAACTCCCAACTATAGTGTTGAGCTACCATACAAATGCAGCTTGTTCTTCATAAGAAAAGAACACATTTGCACAAAACCCCTTCCGACAAAGGTGCTGATAGGAAGACAAATAAAAGCCAAGTTGTTTCCTGTTCAAGCGAGCGTCTAGTTACTTCCAGCTGGCCAGTGTTTGTCAAGGCCCAGCTATTCCCTCAGGAGGAGCGACACCCCCTCCAGTTTCAAACTCACCAAGACGTTTAGTCTGTGCTCATTTTTGAACTGTTCAGCGAATTCCCAGATTCTTTTGGGGTTGGACATATCCAGAATATGAACAAAAATATTCTAGGAATAGGGAAAAGACAATAAAAGATAAGGCCAGAGCATGGCTAATTTGCAATTCAGCTTTAAATCTTCTCAGGCATGGCACTCAGTGCACACATAAAATATCCAAAGCTATTTGCAAGATTCACATGAGCATTTGCACTTTTAGCAACACAAACTGAGGGTAGGAGTAGAATATGCCCACTTTTTCAAAATTTAATGGAAAAGTAGGGAGCCTTTTCATATTCATATCTAAGAAGATTATTTTAAAAATCACTTATACACAAACTCCTTCAGGGGTGACATAAAAAGCAGTACAAAAAAGAGGAAGGGATTAGTATGAATTATCTGGGCTGTCTCTCCCCCCCCCCCAACTACTGAGAATTTATGGTATTCAAACCTTCACTCCTTTGTGTACTAAGATGTAGCATAAGTCAGTGTTCATGGAAGTCAAGGCCATCCCCACCCCATAGTAATCACAGCCAAGAGGACTGTTTCTCCATCGCTATGGAGAGGGCGAACAACAACCTCAGCAACAGTGCAAGCTGTGTATGCTCATAATAATCCTCATTGAGATTTCTGTTTCCCTTGGTACCAGCAGACTTCAGGTGGGGGGGAGTGGTTTACAGGGAGGTCAATGCCTTTCCTAGCACCCACACTAATCCTAATAGGTTTTCCAAACAGCTGGAGAGCAGGAAAAAATAGTTGGGGCTCTCACGTTTTGTTGGATACACTAGGAATAGCAAGAGCTGCACTCATCTTGTGGTTACCAGGTGTCCACTCCAGATTAAGGGGTGCTGTGGTTAAGTTGTGGTATTGCAGTCAAAACTCTTCTCACGGTCAGCACTGGATCCCAGCAAATTCTGGCAGCCAGCTGAAGGTTGACTCAGTTTTCTCAGCCATCTTTCTGAGGCAAGTAAAGTGAGTACTCAGATCACTGGGGAGGGGGGCAATGGGTAGCCTTGTATCATTATTTGCAAACCCTCCCAGAGAGTGCTTTGTGCACTATGGGGCAGTGTATAAGCAGCGTACTTTGCTTTTGCACAGAAGTGAGCCATCGCTGGCATGAGGGGGTCTTCATTGCCTCCAACCTTCTAGAAACTGAACCCAGTCACTGCCTTTCCCACTGCAAATGTGTCAATGCCATAAGGACTGCCTTTGCTGCAGCAGCTCTGTTATTTAGAAAATTTTGCCAGAATAGTTTATGAAGCTTCTGTGTTTCCTTCCTTTAAGCAGTACAACAGAAATCTCACTAAGCCTCCACGTGCAATGCAAAACAGCTATTTAGCTGAACCACTTGCTTCTGTGGAAGAAGTTACTGTATTCTTTGGTGTATTCCATGTATACTAGAAAACAATTATTTTCTGTTTCAAAGTCCAGGAGCTGAAGCGCATCCAGAATATGAAATATGGCGAGACTCATTGTACAGGGGTGGTGAATCCACAGAATGTTAGTCCGGACCTCTCAGCTACTATTCGAGATGTTAAACCATAATGCCAAAGTAGGTCCAGTATCCTAAAGAGGTCTTGTAGAACTGAGACAAAAACCTGGAGCAGATTCACTATCCGCCCCCTCCACCAATGACATCAGAGTAACCAGTCTTTGGTACCAACACTGGAATTTAATGGTAGCAAAGCACCTAACTAAACTTGCCACTGGTTGTTGTGGGTTTTTCAGGCTCTTTGGCCGTGTTCTGAAAGAACAACCTTCAGAACACGGCCAAAGGGCCCGAAAACCCCACAACAACCATTAGATCCCGGCTGTGAAAGCCTTCGCGAATACATTAAACTTGCCACTGCTGAGCATACAGAGGCCCATATAGCCAATCCCTCAGAAGAAACTTGCAATTTTCCTGACAACAAAGCACAAAATGGGGATGGGTGGGTGGGGGCGAGAATCAAAACCAAATCTTACCTGATTGCCAGTTTCTGTTGTTATTTCTTTTTTAGCTTCCTCAGCTCTGTCTTCATTTCGGCAAACTAGATGAACTGCTCCCCCTGGTGGAGTTCAGCAGGAAATTGCATGATAGGAATATTTATATGAAGACATTTAAGTTCAAGTTTCCATATTGTTGTCATATGGGACAGGATTTTAAGTTTGTGAAAATTCAAAGAGCCCTTCTTTAACTAGAAGTGTGTGGGGAAAAATAAACCTCCTTAGGTATGAAAAAGGCTTGTTTGCTTTCTCACATAACCAACATATACCTAGCAGAAGTCCTCCTGCCGATGAGATCTCCCCGTTCTACACAATCTGCCCATCTGCCCAAACCGGGTGTTTGAGATGAGTGACACCCTCCTCCCAATCAAGAGAGGTCCGGAGGGCCAAGACCAGTAATTGGGCCTTCTTGAATGTCATCCCTTATCTTTGGAACGAGCTCCCGCCTGAAATTCACCTGACCCCTTTCACTGGGAAGCTTCCCAGTTTTTTGCTTGTAAACTGCCCAGAGTGGCCATTTGGGCAGTATAAAAGTCAAACAAACAAACTAAAGATTAAAGCTTCCCAGTTTTTTGCTTGTAAACCACCCAGAGTGGCCAGATGGGCACTATAAAAGTCAAACAAACAGAGCCCTCCAAAATGAACTCAGTACAGATTCACTTGGACCTCCTTATATCGTTGTTCTTATATTCAGCAGTCTCGGGTGATATTTCACGTAAACTGCATCCCAGTGGAAGTGCTAGGCCCACACATGATTGGCCATTCATAATTTATATGGGGAATTAAATGTTACTGGTTACCTTAAAAGACCTAAATAGTTTTTAAAGAAGATGTTTGAAGAACTGCTTGCACATGTATGAACCTGCACAGGTCCCCCACACAATATGATGGAATGTAAATCCACTGTTCAAATTGTGAAGTCACCAGGAAGCAGGACTCACACCACAAGTGCTGAGACATCTCTTTAAATATTCTGCCTGCCGTACGTATCTAAGTTTTTGCATGCTGTTGTAGGCACAGTGAGAAAAGGAAAATAAGAGCAGCATATCTCTTGTACTACTCTTCAAATATCTGTTCCATAGTTCTTCAACCTACCTCTCCTGGCAATCTCTTTTGCAGCTGCTTTGCCGATACCACTGTTTGCTCCAGTGACCATGAAAGACCGTCCAGTTACATTTACTTCCAAGTCTTCTGGAACAAAATGCTTGGACGCTGACTCGTAGCCACTCCTAGAAGAGCCAGTTAAAAATGAGATTTTAGTAGACTAGAGACTATTTATCAATAAGAAGTATAAGCATGGCACATTCCTCTTTTAAGCGCTACCATCTCAGCAAGCAAATGAAAGCTAACGTTTATTATTATGTGCCATCATGTTGCTTCCAATTTATTGCAACCCTATAAATTAGCAACCTCCCAAAGGTCCTATGCTCAAACCGTTCTACTCAGCTCTTGCAAATTCAAGGTGGTGTCTTCTTTTATTGAAACAATCAATCTCTTATTTAATTTTCTTTTTCCTGTTGCCTTCAGTTTTGTGCAGCATAGTTGTCTTTTCCAGTGAATTAAGTCTTCTCATAATGAAATTAATTTTAAATTCCATTAGCATTAAGAATCTTAATTTATGAATATTAAAACAAAACATTCTAACCACGTTAAAATACCACCCCCTTCCCTGGCTTCATTTTCACTGTTGGCAGATCAGCTCCTAGCAGTGTCAGGCTATAAACTGTAACTCACACTTCTCTGTCTCTCCTGGAGGGATATAATTTTTGCACAATGCATTACTTCCTCAATCAAAAAGAGGATGGAGTACACACCACAATATTTGTACATTTGTCCTCTGCCTCTTTTTTTTTCTTCTGCAAACAATCTATCCATTCTTGGGGCACAGAATAGTTCATTTATTTGAATTATGCTATAAAGTGGAGGGGGATATACACGGAGATCTGGTAAATAAATGCAGATTTAGCTGCTTACATCACTAGTGGCTGGGCAATCGGCTTGTGAAATGGGATTTGCCCTTCATGAAACCCACCTGTGAGTAGCAATAACTAAACTTTAAACTTTAAAGTACTGTACACATTGCCTGCCTCAACCATATTATGACATGCAGCGTGTAAGCGCAGGTATGATTCTTTTATGTAATTTTAAGAGACAGCTCTGTTAATCGCCTTCAGCATGTAAAGGAACAGCAAAAACAGAAGCAGACTTCCTGCCCTTTTAAATCCACCAAACTTATTTCAGTGTGAGCTTTCGTGCATTACACAGTAGTTTACTTCTTTTGACACTCAGAATGCAAATACTGAAGCCACCGGGTTATGCATACACACACACACCGACAGTGGGTGTGCACACGCTTGGGGCGACGGGACAGAGTAAAATGGGTCACGGCAGATGATGGTTGCATTACTAGGACTGGCAATGTGAGCTGCCAATGTGTTGATGAGGCAAGCGACCCTCTCAAATCCGGACTCCCCGACACTTTGTTTCTTCGATCCTCTTCGGTTTCTCCATCGAGGAACGTGCCTCTGTGAAAGGCCTGAGACCGAACGTTCCTCGCTGGGGAATCCAGAACCGTTCCTTTCCCGTTCCCGGGAACGAGGCAGAACGGAGAGCCTTGTTTCGGTCACTCTTTTCTGGGCAGAACCCGCCTTCTTTTGCCTGTTACGTAAAAATTACGAAAGGAGGGGGTCGGAAAATGGGAAACCGACCCCGTTTTGAGTGTTTATATGTATCTCTGAATTGCCCCTCAGTGGAGGTTGCCATGAGGGGAGAAATATCGCAACCCCTTCCCTCTTTGTGTCTTTCGAGGGGGGCCTTCCTCTGCGCAGTTCCCATCCCACCCGGCCACCCCCCCGCACCCCTTCGTACCGGCAGTATTGGTTCAGTCCCTTCAAGAACCACACCGAGTTCCTGTACAAGGACATGGCGAGGAGGCGGCTCGATGACGGGGAGAAACCACTGGATGGGATTGATGGGTGTGTGTGTGGAGACCCTCTTCCTCTCTCTTTCTCTGAATCCCTCGTCCACGCCTTCCTGGCACGCAGTCGCTGCGGGGAGGAGAGCCGGGGAACGGCTTTCTGGAGCCTCGCTGGGCGGCCAAGAAGGGAAGCGAGGAGGACGGGCAGGGGCAGGGCCCGCCCTACGCGAGGCCGGAGGAGGCGGCCTGTCAGGGAAGGGCTGGAAAGGGTTGTTTTGTGTTCATGGACTTTGCGTACCGCCAGCGAGGCGGAGGCGGGCGTATGTGGGGTTTTCGGCCTCGCTCTCGCGAAATAATTTGCTCGGCATTCGGTACGAGAAACCTTGAATCTGCTGAGAGGCACCGTTTGCTGTCGTGCCTCAGGCAGCAAAATATCCTGGGTTGGCCTTTTTGAGGCCTTTGCCTCTGGTTCAGTAAGGGGGGGGGGCGGAGCTGGCCTCCCAGGAGCGGCTTGGCTTACCTGGCAACTAGCAGGTGGTTTCCTAGCAACAGCCACCCGCTTTTCTGCCCTGGGGGCCAGATAAGCCTTCTCTGTTGGAAACTGGGAGATAAAGTTAGGCAATGTTAGCAGGAGGGTGGCATTAGATAGTATTAGACTAGAGGCTCATCCCAACGGATTACTTAGTGCATTTCATGTGTGCTGATCATACCAGTATTTTTCCTGACATCTATTTGGATCTTAAAATAATAAGAGTTGGAAGGGGCCTATAAGGCCATTGAGTCCAACTCCCTGCAGGAATCCAAATCAAAGTACATCTGGATGATGGTTGTCCAATTTTCTCTTGAATGCCTCCAGCATTGGAGCACTCACCACCTTCTGATGTAATTGGTTCCACTGTTGTACTGCTCTAACAGTTTAGAAGTTTTTGCTGATATTCAGCCTAAATCTGACTTCCATAAGCCCATTATTAAATGTCCTACACTCTGGGATGATCGAGAACAGATCCTGTCCCTCCTCTATGCGACAGTCTTTCAGCTATTTGAAAATTGATATCATATCAGTCTTCTTTTCTCGAGGCTAAATATGCCCAGTTCTTTCAGTCTTTCCTCATAAGGCTTAGTTTCCAGCCCCCTGATCATTCTTGTTGCCCTCCTCTGAAACTTGTTCCAGTTTGTCAGCATCCTTCTTGAAGAACTGGACATAATACTCAAGGTGAGGCCTAATCAGTGCTGGAGGGGAACTAGCACTTTGCAGGATTTGGAGACTATACAGTGGTGCCTCGCAAAGCGAATGCCTCGCGGGACGAAAAACTCGCAAGACGAATGGTTTTGGCAATGAGGTTGATGACTCATAAGATGAATGTTCCTATGGCCATGCTTCGCAAGACAATGTTTGCTGATTTTTAAATGTTCTTCTATGATGTTTAAAGTTAAACGTTTTTTTGATTGAAATTTTTGAAATCATCTGCACAATGTGTATGGCTTTAAAGAGCACTTAATAAACCCTTTGTAAACCAAATTTGACTTTGTTCTGACTTTTTTAGCCTATAGGAACACATTAATTAGATTTCAATGCATTCCTATAGGCGTTTCGCAAGATGAATTTTTCGCAAGACAACATTAACCGCAAAATGAAGTAAATTCATCTTGTGAAGCACCACTGTACTTCTCTTAATGCATCCTAAAACAACATTTGCCTAGTTTGTAGACACATCAGTGTTGGCTCATATGATGATCTACAATGATTCCAGGGTCCTTCTCGCACATAGTGTTACTAAGCTAGTTATCCCCCATCTTATAATTGTGTGTGGTTTCTTTTTCCTAGGTGTAGTACTGTACTTTGCACTTATCGCTGTTAAATTTCATTCTGTTGTTTCCAGCCCAGTACTAGAGCCTGCCAAGATATTTTTGAATTTTATTTCTGTCTTCCAGGGTATTAGCTATTCCACCCCATTTTACGTCATCTACAAATTTGATAAGCATTCCCTGCACCCCCTCATCCAAGTCATTAATAAAAGTGTTGAGGAGCGCCAGGCCCAGGACTGAGCCTTGTGGTACTCCACTGGAGAAGAGCTGTTGATAAGCATTGGCATATCATGGGGCATTTTGTCAAAAGCTTTGCAGAAGTCAAGATACAGTGGTGTTTCAACTTACAACCATAATCCATTCCAGAAGATGGGTGTAACTCGAAATGGTCGTAAGTCGAAGCACTATTTCTTATAGGAATACATTGAAACCCCATTAATCTGTTCCGGCTGAAAAAAAAATAAATAAAAGTCCCACCAAAAGCAAGCAAACAAACAAACAGAGCAAGCCCCATCGGAACATGATGGGGCTGGAAGAAAATAAAAAACACCCTTCCACACAGCCAGCCCGATCGGAATGCGATGAGGCCGAAAAAAAATCACAAAATACCCCCCCACACACACACACACAGCTAGAGCCATTGGAATGCGATGGGGCTGAAAACACACCCACACACACACACCAAAAAACAGCACAGCACAGGAACAAACCCATTCTCCAAAACAAAGTAAATGTACTTACTCAGGAGCAGAAAGCAGCACCAGGCAGTCCAAAGCCTCCTCCGATGTGCACACTGACCGTTGGGGTGAAAGAGCTACAATGAAGCTCTTTGCTGATCAACGGTTAGTACCCATATTTGAATTCTCTGCGTTTTTCCTGCCTCTTTTCTGTTTGCAACCTGAAGCTCCGTCCGCAAGTTGAAGCAAAATTTTGCGGCTAGAGCTGGTCGCAACTCAAAATGGTTGTATGTTGGGATAGTCGTATTTTGAGGCACTACTGTATATTGCCTCTATTGCATTGGTCCCCAACCTTGGGCCTCTAGATGTTCTTGGACTTCAACTCCCAGAAATCCTGGCCAGCAGAGGTGGTGGTGAAGGCTTCTGGGAGGTGTAGTCCAAGAACATCTGGAGGCCCAACGTTGGGGACCACTGCTCTGTTGTATTCCCACTGTCTACAAGGGAGGTTATCCAAGAAACAAGATTAGTCCAGCACGATTTGTTTGTGTCAAATCTGTGTTGACTTCTAGTTATTACTGCATTGTTTTCAATGTTCTTGCAGAGTAACTGTTGTATAATCTGCTCCAGAATTTTCTCTGGGAACTGTTCTATAATCTGCTCCAGAATTTTCTCTGGGATTGATGTCAGGCTGACTGGTCTGTAGTTCCCTGGTTCCCTTTTTTGTCCTTTTTGAAGATAGGGACAATGGTAGCCCTCTTACCATAGCTATCTGGCACTTCACACATCCTCCATGATTTTAAGAAAACAATAGACATTGGTTTTTAGATCTCTTCAGCCAGTTCATTTAATATTCTTGGTTGGTTTTTAGACCTCTTCAGCCAGTTCATTTAATATTCTTGGATGCAGTTCATCTAGCCCTCAGGATTTGAACCCATTCAAAGTACAGTACAGTAGTAAGGTGTTCCTTGACTCTTTATTTATTAATTTCAAACTGCAATCCTGTCCCCTTCCCTTTGTTCTTCACATTTGCCTGGATGGTCATAGACTGTCCTTTGGGAGAAGGTGGAGCCAAAGTAGGAATTGAGCACTTCTTCTGCCTTTTCTTTGTCGTTTGTTACTATTTTTCCATTCCCATTGAGTGCCTGAGCCACTGTTTCTTTTCTCTGCCTTTTGCTATGCACATACCTGCATTCATGCTCAGCTCATTCTCAGGTTTTGCCTTTCCAATACCTTCCCTGCAAATCTTGACTACCTGTGTGCATTCTTCCTCTGTGGCCTGGCCTTCCTTCCATTTCATATATATTTTTTTCTTGACTATCTGTGTGCATTCTTCCTTTGTGGCCTGGCCTTCCTTCCATTTCATATATATTTTTTAAATTTTTATTTCCTCTGTAAGTTTTTTTGTTTTTGTTTTGAAGCCCCAGTGATCTCCCCTCCAATCTTCCAGCTTTTCTTCTTGTTGGAATAATTTATAGTTGGGTCCCTACATCCTCTCCAAGCTGTTCTTACCATGTCGGGTCTTCTTCCATGGCCTTCTCCTTTTTCTTCCTTATTTTTCTGCTCTGTGCTTCTTCAGCAGTCTCTTCCCTCCCTTAACACGCCCAGCCTTTTCTGTTAGTACTGTTTCACCTACATGTCAGATACTTTGCTTTGCAGTTCAAATGGCACCTCCAGGAGGACAATGAGAGCAACAAAATACTAAATTTTCACACACACCGATTCCCAGATGGAGGGTTTTTTGGTTCACCCTGTTCCTGAGCCAAACAAGGGAAAACCAAACAAGAGGGTGGATGTGTAATGCCTGCGCTTCTTTGTTTGAAAAAGTGAGATTTGATATCCAATCCATAGCTTCCTCAGCTGTAACTTTAAAGCCACAACTCCAACTCTTGGGCTCTAAGCCATTGGTGTGTGCCTGAGGAAATGGACATCAGATCCACCAAAAACTGGATGATCTCCTTAGTAGTCTTATAAAGGTATCACCTACTCCTGCATTACAAAATGGAGGGACAGTTTTGTTAGTTCAAAAGCTGCTATATTTGAGCTGTCAAATAGTAGCCTGTTCAAGTACATGTTCTTAGTTAAATCTGAGCATAATTTTAATGCTTCTCCAATGTCTTCCCTAACCAACCATCAATCTTTTAGATCTGTACAGTAATCTGTAAAGTTGCAATATTTGTGGCATAGGAGATTGGAGAAAGGATGTTCTCCCTTCTTAATGCTTATCTGGTCACATTCAGTTGTCCCACAGCATGTTCAAGAAATTCACACAACATTTTATAATACAGTTACAAGTATAACGTATTAAAATCAGCCATGAAGAAGAAAGCCATATTCACACACATTTTACTAGTAATAAAACTAATTACTAATTTGAGGCTCATCTATAGAGACTTTGTTATTCCGGTTTATTGTGTCTTAGAAATATTTTGGCAAAGATTAAAGCCTAGGAAAAGTATTTTTCATTACCCAGCAGCAATAAAAATAGATTTAGAAGTAAACAACTGTACAGCATATCTTATAATACATACACATTTTTGCTAAATTCAAACATATCAAGCACATAAAAATTGTATAAACATTCCTAGACTCTTATAAAATGGAAGAGGGGGAAAACAGTATGTCCTTTTTAAATATCTTGAATACGTTGTTTTATTTAAGCAAGTTGTCAATTTTACATTCTTTCCATCCAAAAATCAGTAAGAATCTTTAATATAGTGGAGGTCGAAGCTACTATTTTAGTGCGAGCCAAATGACTTATGATGAAAGCTTATTTCTGTGTGTGCCTGAAGCATCTCCTAAGAACTATTTTGCCATTCCACAATCATGGTTTTAAATAAATTTCTGCCTGTTTTGAAGAACACCCCTGTTTGAGGTTTATTATGATTTATTATTTTGAAGATATTTTTTCTCACAGTTATCCTTAGTGCCTCTTAGTATAGGGAAAGCATTGGCCCCATTTATACAATCATCTGTAAAGTAAACTATGTG